TTGCATATACTTAGGCCTGTTGTATTTACTTCAGTCTGTTTAAAGCAACCTTTCTTCTTTCATTTAATGATAACATTTATTATAAATTATTTTATATAGAGAGGGGCAATTTGGACTTTCACAGCTTTTCAGAGACTTTTGTCTCACAGTTCTTAATTATAGCAAGAAAAATAACGTGGGAATTACTTTTCTAACAGCACATGCCTTTTGAAACTGCCTGCCTAATGCTTCTTCGAAAAATATTGCTTGCTCCTAAAACCACCTTCTGGGACATTAGTTGAGTGTCCTGCAATTTGGCTCTTTCTGCATCTTGCATGGGTTAACCAGCTTGTATCAAAAAGACAGATAATTAGGGATTTTGATTTTTTAATGCTATATCCTGAGAGAGATGAAGGATTCTATCTGAATGCTATGTCAGATAAGAATAGTTGTATTTGTGGACTTCAGGGCACAATATTTCAAGAAAGATGAAGGTTGTTGGTCATAGTCCAGAGGACAGCAGGAAGAATGATCAGAGCTGTAGAAAACACAGCAAAAAAAAAAAAACAAACAAACCTTTCAATCTTCAGGTTTAGTTGTTTAGTCTAAAGAATAAAAAACTGGAAGGAAATTCATAGTAGACTTCCAGGGTGTACAACTTTTCTGTAAAGAAGGAGAAAAACATTCCTCATGTCCACTGGGAGCACAGCAAAAAGTAGTAGGTTTAAATTACAACAAAGGAGATTTAGGTGAGACATTATGGAAAAAAAGCCCTTTCCACTGTAAGGATAGTTAAGCACAAGAATTGCCTAGGGAGGTTATGAAGAGGTTAGACAAACATCTGTCAGAAATTATTTAGGTATAGCTAATCCTGCTGTGAGATAAAGTGTTGGACTAAATAACCTTTTGAGGTCCCTTCTAGCATGATTTTCTGTGATTCTGTGATTAGGATACTGTGCTCACATTGTCCTGCAGTAAGATGTTCCTGTGCAAGGACAATATCACTATATTTTGCATTGCATACTTTGCTTTGGTTTTGCTTCGGTTTTGCTTCAAGCTTGTGGGGACAATGTTGGTCTTATTTTTTTTAAGCATTTTAGCTTTATTCTTAGTAACTTAGGAGCTTCGAGCACTAGACACTAGGAGCTTGTTTTCAGCCAGAGAGCCCTGTTCTGGTTTTGCGCTAAACATTTGCCAATAAGCGTTATCAATACACACCTCAGAATGAGTGGCTTTTACTATGTCTTTTAACTTGCAGTCAAACAGTTACATGGGTGGATGCTCAGTTCCTGCTTATAAGCAAAATGCAAACAGGAAAAAAAAATAGCCATGAAAAGAAATGTATCATAGCTTCCCCAGTGGTAAAACCGAAATAAAATAGGCATGTTCTAAAGCTGAATATGACACAAGTTGTGAAACATCCTGGAACTGACAGATGGAGAATGATATTAAAGTGTAAGATATTATCATTATTACCTCATCAGAGAGACCATTGAAGGCATCACTTTAAGACTGTCTTTATCCTCTGTATCACTCAAACTCTTTAACTTTGTTTTTCCATTTGGCATTCTGCCACCCGGTAGGATTTGTATTCAGCTTTGCATTTGCAGGAGTGTGTTCGCAATATTGCTTCTGCATACGGAATATGGCTCCAGCCCAGCTTCACATTGGTGGGTTTTGTAAAACTCCCATCTGGAGGAATAAGGAATAGGAAGCATCTGATCTTGAAGCAGTTTAAAATAAATTGGTCATACTCTGCATGGAATGTTGACAGAGAGTGTATCTGATTAGTGACACTGTTCCTGCAGAGAGGAGGCCGTCATGTTGCTTGAAACAGAGACGTACTGTCACGCCACAGCAGTGACCCAAGACCCAGTCGTGGGTAGGATTGTTCCTGAACCCAACAGAGAAGATAGAACAGTTTTTGTTTTATTGATCCTTTAGGAACCCTGAAGGTTCATCTTCACATGCTTTCCATGGTGTTATCTATCTCACAGCTCTTCAGTTATGCAGTTAGCTGCCCATTCTTACTCAAGGAATGAGCAGTTTCCATTTTCTTAGACAATCCCGCTTTTTCACTAGGAAGGGGAGGATGGGGGAAGGCAGGCTCTGCTGTGCATGGCAGAGAGGTGAGCATAAAACCTCATCTGCAGATGTGGATTCTCCTTGCTGAGGGCCACAGTTCAATGTAATGGGCTTATACTGGCAGGTTCTCTGCAAGCAGGTATGGTAGGTGAGGGTTCCAGGCTTAGCAACTAAAAGGGAACATGTACTGTTAAACAAACTTGCTGCTTACACCCACTGTCATAAAGGTATCCTGGTATTTATCTGATTTAAAAATTTAGAAGACAAGCTGAATTCATGTGAAAAGAGAAATACTGGGGTTTTTTTGTACTGCACCAACTCATTCGCACTCCTCGAAATTTTACTAGTGAAGAGATCTCTTGCAAATATTCATATATATACACACACACATGTGTGTGTGTTGTATGGGAGTACATCCAGTACCATCCAGTTGGTTATCTGAAAACACAGTGTATGTTCAGCACAGGAGCTAAAAGTAAATCAGGAACTGTTTAAAAATATATGTTGTTTCAAGATGACAACACAGAATTTTCTGCAGTATCTATCTGATAATATTTGAGTCTCACATGAAGTTTTTTTTAATAAAGGAGAGATCTTTTGAATAATAGGAGTTGTATTACATTTTACTTGGGGAAAAGTAATTAAAATTATAACCTTTGCCCTGCTTTCAGAGATAGATACTTAGCAAATTCGTTCAAAGTAAGAGTTGTTAGGAGTTTCAAATAGTGATTGTTTCCTTTCTAGAGTTCATCAAATACTTGTAATGTGCGTTCTTATTTAAAAGCAATCTTCCTTTTCCAGTCTTTTGTGAGGAGGTTTATTCCCAGCCCTGCTCTGACACCACAAGGTGCTGCACCATGAAAACTCAAGGTGTTTGCAAGTGGAGCAGCACGGGCTCATCTCCTGAGGGGTGGTAGGCACCCTGGGAAGGGCACACGTACCCGCTGAGGCTGGAGCAGTGCAGACAGGGTGGAGGAAGGGCTTTTGGGAGGGTTTTGCCTCCCTGACCCCACCATGCAAGGGCTGGGTGGGTTTCCAAGATAGCCGGGGCCAGCCCACACTCCTGGTCCCCATTCCCCAACTGCTGCCGAGCCCAAACAGCTGGATCTAGAGCAAAATGGCTGAGCAGCAGTTACAGCTTCATGGGCACAACTGTCTTGATACGGGTTGTCTGCTAGAGGCAGAGATAATGATAGCTTTCAAGGCTAATATGTTTGCGAGGAGGGGAACTGATACTGGTGGGAAGGGAAAAGAAGTCAGCAGCAATCTTTAGAAATATAAATGTCTGCCAGGATTCAAATTTCAGCCTTCAGTTGATTTCATACACTTCACTGTTTCTGCTCCTCTCCTCCAGTGCTTTAGTAGTCATTAAATGAACTTGAAGATGTTTGTATCGATAACCCTTTTTTACCAAAAGCTATTAATTTCTAAAGCGATATAAATACAGGTATAATTGTGATGTCACGTTGTCAGAAGCCATTTGAAATACTTTTCAGAGACACATGTACATGTGAAGTGGTAAGTATGCCATAACTAATGGTACTATTAGTTTGATTTACTGCCAACAAGTAAGCTTTACAAAAATCAATTCCCAAGCTCATAGACTATCTCCCTAAAACTGATAAATTTGTACACTATCAATAATAAGAGAAAAGGCGAAGTTACAGGTTTATCTTTTCTGTGTGTTAACTGCTTGAAAGGTATCTTACAGAGGTGGCTGTGATATATAGGAGTGTGTGTATGAGAGAGAGAGAGGTTATGGAAGTCACAAGCTGTTAAAAGTTGAAAAAAAAAATCTGAATGATCTTTAGACAATTCAGATGACACATCTAACAAAGGCTGTCAGTAGAATAAAAGTGGTTATGTTAATATATTGAACCATTAACACATGTCCTTATCACAATGGAACTTATACAATGGTAGTTCCTGTCAAATTCTACTCGATACATATGGCATGTTTGTCTGATTCACGGAAAGACAATTATATCTATTTCATTTCAGCTCTGAATTGACACTTCAATTTTAAATCACCCACAGAACACCTTAGCTTAAATCTGAGCTTCTCCCTCATGTTCTTTGCTATTTGTCAAGTTTCCGTATGAGTATGCTGAAAAGATGTTACAGGCAATCTACTGTAGTGTGTGTGTGGTGCATTTGACCTCTGGACAAGAAAGGAGTTTCATCCTCCAGTGCTTTTAATTCTTATCCTTGCAAAGACTGAATTTGTTGCTTGCATTAAAATAGTATGTCTCGTTAATGCTAAGAAGCGGTGACCCACATAGCACAATGGATTCATTTGTCAATCCCACGATATCTGAGCTTTCCGTTCATGTATGTCTTAGCAGCAAATCAATTCAGAAATCATTTAATCAGTCTATCAATGCATCCTTCTTGTCAGTTGTCTGAATCCTGAAAATTCCAGTATCTCATTGGACAGCACCAAGCAAAATGGATTTGGACCTCATACTACATACTCAGACTCTGAAAACTGCAGCTCCCAGATTCACAGCTCAAACACAGAGAAATCCTAAGAAGAAAAGTAGGACCTGAAAATTGTCTCGAATTTTGAGGATATGCATGTTCTGATCTGGTTCTGAACTTCAGAGTACAAACCTGTCCCTGTTTGTTAGCATTTCTGAAATGCTATACATTCAGTTACAGAAAGCAGTGCCCTTTTGTTCCCTTATAAAGAAACAAGGTTTTTTTTTCTTTTTGTTATTCCCGTGGGCTGAGACTAGAGCCTGAGTAGTTTATAACCATCACTGGTATGCAAATGTCAATCATATCCTTACTCTGTTTATTTCCAGTATTTACATGTTTATTTAAGTACTTGCCATTTCTTTTAAGCCTTGTATACCTGATCAGGCCAACTAAGGTCTAAAGGAACAGAACACTTTATTAGTGATATGCTTAATACAGTTTTTTTCCTCTTGTAGATGCAAGATTTACGGAACACAGAAGGAGCCCAGTATAGTTCCCATCCTCAGATGGCAACCATGAGGCCAAGGGTTCAACCTGCAGATATTAGGCAGCCAGGAATGATGCAGCATGGGCAGCTGACTACTATTAACCAGTCCCAGCTCAGTGCACAGCTTGGTTTGAATATGGGTGGAAACAATGTTCCTCACAACTCGCCCTCTCCTCCTGGAAGCAAATCTGCAACTCCTTCACCATCCAGTTCAGTCCATGAAGATGAAGGAGAAGATAGCTCTAAGGTAGGCTTAGATGCTAGGATTACTATTTAAATTATGGATATTTTTAGGACCTGCTAAATTAATCGTATGGCCACAGTTATCAGGGTGATATTTTATACATTGTTGGTGGTTGACTGAAGTGAATAAAGGGTTATGAATACAGAACGTGTAATTTCCAGTCAATTCTTCAGGCAGCTTGAGTAAATGACATCATTCCTCTTCATGAAAGCAAACTAGAATCCTATAAAACACCTAAAGGATAGCCATTCCTTTAGGACTTTAATATAAAGGTTGAGTTTTCTCACTTGCATAGAAGGGATGTTTGTTCCTAGTTAAAGATCAAGTTACTGCTACAAAAAGTATGAACAGTCTGTACAATTTGCTAGTCTTTGCTACTTGGTCACAGCATGAGTAAACAGAACATCATAGCAACCAGAAAGAAAGATCCTCTACGAGCTTTAAAAGTCTTACCTTGGAAATCTTGAAGATCATTGTGCATTTATACTTTGGGAGGTGCCCACACTCAATCATGACATATTCAAGCTTCACTTTAGTGTCAATACAGGCATGATGTGATAATAGTCATTTAAAGAATAAATTTCTTTACAGGATAAATGTAAATTTATATAGGAGGTTTTGCACGCAAAATCCTCCCAAACCTCCCGAAATCCTGAAAACCTCCAAAAAATACACAAGTATGTTATCTGAATTATGCAGACACAAAAGCTGAGACACAAAAAGACTGGGACTTAGCACAAAGTCATACAGCCCTTAAACCAGGAATGTCAGAACTGAGAGCCTCTTTAGCTCTATTTTATGGTCACTACAAAATAGGAGTCTTGTTAAAGCAGTCCTGTAGCATAGTGTGTACCCTGGTGGGTACATGGCCATGTCTTGTGAGGAAAAGTTGCAGACTTGTGAGGAATGTGAAGAAAACTTATTGTGTGTCACTGTGGAGGTATAAGGCAGTCAAGAAATGTAAGTCTGATTTGTTTTCGAATTATATTGTTTTTCATGCCTCAAGCTATAAAATAATCATGTAATTGGAGACATATGTTCTACCACATTTTGAATAAATTCTGATTCAAAAGTTTTATTTTAGGACTTTCCTCTGATTTCAGAAACTTTAGGTTTTAAAAATTACTGAATAATTCATACATTTTAAATGAGCACTTCCTTACTGAGGGAGGCTTTAGAATACAGCTATGTAAAAATAATTCCAGGCAGCCTTACTTTTTCAGAATAATTCATTTTCTACTCCTGTTGCTTTGCTAGTATTTTTACATATGCTGGTTGGAATATGCAAGTTGCTGTAAATTTCTGGAGGAAACATTCACTCAAATAATTAATATACCCTTTCTGCTTCTATCAAATATTTCAGTTACTTAACCCCTATTTCTCATGTGCTTTTTCACTGCAAAACTTTGTGCTAGCAAAAGTGTAGGGTTGTGGTTTCACGTCGACAGTACTCATTGGAAGCTAATGTTTTCAATAAAGAAATACTAAGCATTGCAGACCAAGTAAAACTTGGTCCTTTTTTTTGTGAAAGCCAGTTTATGTAAGTGTTCAACCTTTTAACAAGTTATTTTGGAAAAGCCTGTAAAATTTTCTCATGCTCAGCTGAAGCAGAAAAATATGAGAGAAGGCACAATACACAAAACAAAATTAAATTCAGTATACTGAAGTTTATAAATTCAATAATTATAATTTCTCTGCTAACAGAAAAGTTTTAAAGTATGTTAAAATTGGTTAATGATGTCAGAGGGCTTAAATTTGTCTCCAACTAGTAGGTCTTAAACTACAAGCTTGATGGGGGGCAGATTTTGCCATACCTGTCTTCTGTGGGATTTTTAGGTCTTTGTGAAAACTCCTGAAGTTGGCCACCGCTGGAGATGGGCAGTGGGCTGTCATTGCTGATCCGATGCAATGGTTCTGCTGTAGCTCCCTCTATAAAAGACAAGAAAGTTTGAATAATCAGCATAAGAAGTTAGTGTATTGTTGTAGTTTACGATTTAAACCCCTCTGCTGCATATCCTTCTGTCAGTGTTGCTCTTTCTGGAAGCTGCCAATGAATATGAATGGATACGGATACTTAGAATAAACCAGCTTTCTGTGGAGAAACTTCCTCCCCAGCCACAGCAGTATTACATTTTCTCAGAGCTGCTTTGGAAGGGCCTGTGAGTGTTCTTCACACTCCAGAAATCGTCCCAGTGAAAGAAGGCACTGGATGAGGACAGGAAGAGAGAGTCTGTTCTGTCTTTTGTGAGAATCTCTTTCAGGAGATGTAGTCATGTCGTAGCTGCTGGAGCTCGCCACATTTAAGCAGCTTCATGAAGCAAGTAAGAGGGAATGTGGGACTGATGTTTTAAAATGCCAGATGCCAGGCTGCCCAGCGAAGTCGTGTAGTCCTGATCCCTGGAGGTATTTAAAAGATGTGTAGATGCATCACTTAGGGACATGGTTTAGTGGTGGACTTGGCACTGTTAGGTTTATGGTTGGACTTAATGATCTTGCAAGTCTTTTCCAACTAAATGGTTCTATGTTCCTGCCATGAGGACTGTGTAAAAAACAGCTCCCTCTAAATTCACCATATCATTAATAGCAACAGTGACATTCTCCCTATTTAACCAGCAGGAGAAGATGTTTGCCTGTGTACCAACATTGTTCAAAAAAGACAAAGTACATTTTCAAATGGAAAATCACCTCAGTGTCATATAACCTCCCTTAGTTTATACCAACCAAATGCCCAGCCTTACATGTGACAGAGGAGCCAATAGTCCTTTAATTTGATAGAGACATCCCTAACAACTTTACCTATTTCTATCCTGAGAATAGAATACAGAAATCTCAGTGTCCTGTTCATGTTTGTGGGAATTTATAGAAAGAGAATGTCAGAAAGTATGAAAAAATATATACGTTATATACATTTGGACTAGAAATATAATTGCATCCCTAGTGAACCACTGATTTCCGTGCATGGAGGGAATGACCATTTCAGCTTAATGTACATATTCCAAATGAGAGTAATAAGGAAACTTTACAAACTGATGTAATTGTTCACGTACTGAGTTTCTTGGATGTTTGTTCTATGGGAAATACTCAAATTGTTGTAAGGCTTCTCCAACATACACAGAAATAATAGCAGAAACTGCTAAATATTTTTTGGCAATACTCATTCTCATAAAGGCTCTTTCATATAGGCCTTTTGGACTTTAAACATCATATATTCCATTGCACAAAAAAGGGAAAGGAGCTGCATTATAGAGGGCACAGTTGCCCTGCATGCTGTCGCTCTGAGGCAAGGCAGCTGAGGAAGCTTGACCATGAGATCAGTGACAACAGTAGCATAATTATAAGACTATGTATGTGGTCTTATAATTAGACTGTGTATGTAGTCTAGTCAGAAAGCTGCTAGGTCCATGGAAATCATAGATATTTGAAAAATCATGGCAATCACAAAAAGTTCCTGATGACTGGAAAAGGGAAATATAACCCCCATTTTCAAGAAGGGGAAGGTGGAAGACCCAGGGAACTACAGACCAGTCAGTCTTACCTCTGTGCCTGGCAAAATCTTGGAGCAGATTCTCCTGGAAAGCATGCTAAGGCACATGAAAAACAGCGAGGTGATTGGTGACAGCCAACATGGCTTCACTAAGGGCAGATCATGCCTGACCAATTTGGCGTCCTTCTATGATAGGGCTACAGAACTGGTGGTTAGGGGCAAAGCATTTGATGTCGTCTACCTGGATTTCTGCAAAGCATTTGACACTGTCTCACAGAACATCCTTGTCTCTAACCTGGAAAGACATAAATTTGATGGATGGACCACTCGGTGGATAAAGAACTGGCTCGATGGCCGAACACAGAGAGTTGTGGTCAACGGCTCAATGTCCAAATGGAGACCAGTAACGAGTGGTGTCCCTCAGGGGTCGGTGTTGGGACCGATCCTGTTCAACGTCTTTGTTGGCAACATGGACAGTGGGATTGAGTGTGGCCTCAGCAAGTTTGCCGACGACACCAAGCTGTGTGGCTCGGTTGATACGCTGGAGGGAAGGGATGCCATCCAGAGGGACCTGGGCACACTTGTGAGGTGGCCAATGCCAACCTTATGAAGTTCAACCAAGACAAGTGCAAGGTCCTACACCTGGGTCGGGGCAGTCCCAGGCACAGCTACAGGCTGGGCGGAGAAGGGATTCAGAGCAGCCCTGCGGAGAAGGACTTGGGGGTGGTGGTGGATGAGAAGCTGAACATGAGCCGGCTTAGGTGTGCACTTGAGCCCAGAAAGCCAACCGTATCCTGGGCTGCATCAAAAGAAGCATGACCAGCAGGTCAAAGGAGGTGATCCTGCCCCTCTACTCTGCTCTTGTGAGACCTCACTTGGAGTATTGTGTCCAGTTCTGGTGTCCTCAACATAAGGACATGGAGCTGCTGGAGCAAGTCCTGAAGAGGGCCATGAGGTTGATAAGAGGGCTGGAGCACCTCTGACTGAGAAAGTTGGGGCTGTTCAGCCTGGAGAAGAGAAGCTGTGTGGAGACCTGATAGCAGCCTTCCAGTATCTGAAAGGGACCTACAAGGATGCTTTCGAGGGGGACTGTAGCAATGGGACAAGGTGTAATGGGTTTAAACAGGAAGTTTAGATTAGATATAAGGAAGAAGTTCTTTACTGTGAGGGTGGTGAGGCACTGGAATGGGTAGCCCAAAGAAGTTGTGAATGCTCCACCCATGCCAGTGTTCAAGCCCAGATTGGACAGGGCCTCGGGCTACAGGGTCTAGTGTGAGGCCCTGCCCATGGCAAGGTAATCTTAAGGTCCTTTCCAATCCTAACCATTCTATGATTCTGTGATTCTATGATTAAATATGAAATGTAGTTTCAGACCAAGGATATTGTGTCTGCAAGCGTACATGCACAAGTCTCCTTAATTCTCCTAAATCTAATATGTGGGACTATGGTTAGAAGAAGAAAAAAAGAACTTAAAAATCAGTAGTTCCAAGTAACTATGAAAACATTCTAAACCAAGTGACCACTTACTACTTGCTTTATTCTGACCACCTCAACATTAGAATATTACATTTATGTAATTCTTGCCATAATTCATACTATTGGATCATTAAACATGTATTAAGTTATAGCCGAGCATAATTGTGAGCTGCTGAAAGCATTAGTGGTTTGCAAATATGTATTTCTTCATAGATGGATAACAGGGTTTTCTTCCATGCTCATTGGAATATCACTTATGAGAGAATTTCAAATAATGCATTTTAGAGGGAAGATAGTGAAAAGGCTGCAAGTAGCAAGAATTAACTAACAGAAACACAATTACTGAAGAACTGCTGCAGCATATTCTTTTTATGTGGTAGAGGTTTTACAATATTTACTTTATATGATAACAGTTATAAGTAGAATTCTATGTTGTCTGTTCAGCCTATTATGCAGATGGTGCTTGATTAAAATCTATTTTAAACTACAGCGATTACTGCAAGACAGTGTGCATAAAACAGCTCTCCTAGCTCCATTAAAGGCTTTGGTACTATTGCAGTTTATTTTAAATATGCTTATAGACATTTTCCAGCTTCTCCAGGGACATTTAGATATCAACGATGTGCCTTACTTGATAGTTTTAAATCCTACACTAGATATTTTTGTGATCTATTATGTGTGCAACATGGTTAATGTACACTTTTTTAAAGTGAAAGATTATTGCTTTCTTGTGATAAATAAGTTAAATACATCACCATAATTAAGCAATAAGCCATGACAGTAGGTGGATTACCATGAGCTAACTACACCTCCAGGGATTTTGAGGCACAAGTCTATGCCTAGCAGAATATATGTTTTTTATTTTACTTCCCATCTGTCTCTGCTTTGGTGGTTAGAAGTGGAGTCTATGAAGCTGATAGACTGATGGGAGCATAAGGTAGGCCATCATCTCAGCCATTTGTAAGGTTATTAGTACTGGAATTCTGGTATTATTTTTATTTTGTTATTTTCATATAAGACAAACAGAATTTCCCCTGTGAGTACTCTCTTTTAACGGTGGGGTTTTGGTGTCTTGATCATTCAGGTTGGAGAATAAGATTTTAGAGCTGTTTTCAGAACAGCTTACCAGAAGATGTCTTAACACAACTTCCTGCAGCATATCATTTAGCTGAACGGAAGTTTAAGTAGTGTTTTATATTAATACACAGGAAACTTTAAATCTCATTAGGCCAAATGAGATTTCCTCTGAAAAGAGGAAAACTTTAGCAAATAATGGAGGTAAAATTTTAACTATAACCAAAATTATTGTCAAGCCTCCTTGATCATGGAGTTTGCATAGAACTGTCTGAAGACTTTAGACTGATATTGCTGAATTCACTAGGGAGCCCTAGTTAATTACCATTTCTATGGTAGTTTTTTGTACCTTGTAGAATGAAATAATAGCAAGAGACTTAGAGTTGGATAACTTAATAATGGGTAGCACATTGCTTCCATTTTTCCATATTTTCCAAATGCTGCCAATAGGCTCCTTGTCCATTAACCTTATATTAAATATGCATCTATTGTAACATAATGCTCAGGAAACAACCAACTTCATTTTCAAATTATGGTCATCACTTTGTTGCTGTGCTTACTAAGCCACAGAGATCCAGGCTGTTCAGTCATCACCTGGCCCTGTTGGATACCGCACAGGCATGTACATAGAAAAATAAAGAAGTTTTTTGCTCCAAATGAGAATTTCTAGCCGTTCTCGTCATGCAGTTGCAGTGATTTGAACACCTGTGTTCTCCTGTGTCACTTGATATGCATTATTAAAAAATAATAATAGAAGGATGTCATAAAAGCTGTGCCTTAGCCTAGTGTCTAACCTTTTATGCTCTTGATTTTCTCATGCTTCAAAATGCTTGTGATGGGCAGGTCTCTGGCCATGCCAACAAGGGAAAAAAGCCTTTGAACCCTCTGGTATGATCACACATCATTGCTACAGGTATAGTGAATTAAGTGATCATACCAAGAGGAGGTGCTTTGCCATGGAGTGCCAAGCTGTTGAAGAATCAGGACTGTGTCCCTTCATATGCTTCTAAGTCACCTAGGTGCTTTGGTGATCAGGATCTCTGAGCTTTTCAGTGGCAAAGTGTAGTTGCATTTAACAAATTTCCACAAATGCTCATGTGCAGGGTTTTTTTCAGGTGGTACACAAATTGTGCACATACTCTTTTCTTCATATACCATTCCTCCTTCACCGTTCTTTTTTGTTTTCACATGAGCAGAGTTAAAAACTATGCAGCTAAATCTAGATGGATCAGAACTGGTCCTCCAAAGGGGTCTAAACTGTCTGTACTGCTAAAGCACTGTTTCTTCAGATTTTAATTAGAAGGCATGTAGGGGAATGCCTACAACTTCAATTATTTTGTTCACAATCAAGATTCTCTTCAAATTCCCTGGGTATTGTACCACAAGTTTCAATAGAAATTGATTTGAACAGTAGCCTAGGATAGTTCTGGGAAATTATAAGGATAAAAAAAAGGTAGAAATGACAGTGTTCCTTCTGTCTGTAGGTGGTTCATGTGGTTGAACTGGTGGTCAGGCTATAATGAAACTAATTTAATTTCACTCATTAGATGCATGCTATAGCCATTAGCAGTAAAACTTAGAAAAGGTGAAAAGATGACCAGATGAACTATAAATGGGATTATAGCAATTATATGAAAGCTAAATATAAAGCACTTGGAGAGGAAAAAAATACATAATCTGAAATACCTACAGTGCGTTTTATATATGTGACTAAGGTAGACTGTGTCAACAACTGGATTATCAAAGATGGCAACTAAAATTCCGTTTTCACATGCAAAATTGAATATCTTTTTATCACAGAAGATCAAACGATAGATTGATAGGTGGGCTGAATTAAATTGGCTTTTTAAAACTATTTGACTTTTCTGATTCTATGTTCCAGGTCAATGGTGGAGAGAAGAGACCTGCTTCAGATATGGGAAAGAAACCCAAAACTCCCAAAAAGAAGAAGAAGAAGGACCCAAATGAGCCACAGAAGCCTGTGTCTGCCTATGCATTATTCTTTCGAGACACTCAAGCAGCCATCAAGGGCCAAAACCCCAATGCTACTTTTGGTGAAGTCTCTAAAATTGTAGCTTCAATGTGGGACGGCTTAGGAGAAGAACAAAAACAGGTACAAAATGTGCTGTAGCTCAGAGGCTTTGTTTCAGGAAGGTGTTATCAGGGTCATCTAAGCACTGTAAGTAGCTTCTTTTGTTTGCCAGGATCAGACTTGAATTTGTGCCATTGCAGGAATATGATTTAAAGAGCCTGAGATAAGGACAGTATAATTTTGTTTCTTCTGTATGAAATCAGTAAAAGAGTGTTTCAGGGATTTTTTTTAGTTTCAGGGTGTGACACAAGCTTTAGGATTATATTTAGGATTGTTTTATGCCAGAATTGGCGGGCCTAAGATTTTGTGAGGTATTGGCTTGTCTGTGACAATGTGGTATAAGAGGACCTTGCTGCCAGAATTAATATCTGTGCACTGGGACCTGACAACTGGGAGCTCCCAGTTGTAAATGCTTCACTGCCCCTCAATGCCAGAAGGGGAGCTGGTCTCATATCTTTTTCTGACCCACCTAGCTTTTATGAAATGAATTAGAAATGTGTCAGCCCAAGGAGACCTAGGGTGGACCTTGGCAAATCAACAGTGTTCTGGGGTATCATCCAGCATACATGTGGGCTGTGGAAATTGCATCCCATAGTTACTTCCATCTTCTATGGAAAGGCCTTGGATCTGCAATGAGGTCAGCAGAGCTGGATCTCAACCTTTGCAGAAATCCTTCCGAGTCAGCCAGATTCTGCATAAAACTGGCCTAATGTAAAATTCATGTGGTAACAGCTGGCAAATTCCGTTCATACTCTTCGTAGCATACCATTGCTTTTCTGTTGTTATTGGTTGCATTTTTACTAACTGGCAGCAGACTGGGTTGGGTAGATAAAGAAATGGAAACTTTATTAAAGAAACAGATATAAAGGGAAAGGATGTGCTGAGTGAGAGTTCTGTTGGCTTCAAGAGACCTGGGTGGGGGTTGATGTCAGCACAGAGAGAGGAAAAGTACTGGGACAAAACAGCATCTTATTCATTCACACTGAGCATATTATTACTACAGAATTATAGTTAATAAGGCTTAGAATTCAATGGAAAATTTTGTTCTGATTTTTTTGGTAGGTAAAATCATTTGTAATTGAAAAAACAAGTTTACTTTGCTAATAACTAGATGGTGTAGGTACATCTAGATCCCTGTTAAAGATACCGGCGTAGTAAGAATCAAGATTTGGCACTTGCTGACTAACTGGGAGAAAAAAATCTTACTGTAGCTAGTATCCACCATTGAATAAGGTCAGTGATTGGAAGGCTTAGCTGGAGAAAGGGTTACTTTGTGAATGCAGGGACCAGAGAAGTCGCTTCACCTGACGCATCAAGGTTATTTTCTGTTGTTTCTTTTCCCTTTGCTATATGTCCAGCAAAGGCCAAGGTTACATTCTTGATCTGACAGACCGTTTAGACCTTCCCAGTCCTTTGCAGACCTATGACAGCAGTTCTGTCATAGCCAAACGTGTTGATTTTGATGATGATGATGTCACAAAAAGTCTCCGAAAACATACAGACCGTTTTTTTGTTTTAAGTTCACAAGCAAGAGGTTTGGATGCCATTCCTCCTTGTCCCATATACCTGCCAGGTGGCAGGAGAGACAATGCTGCACCACACCAGGAGTCTGCTTAGCAGAAGGCCCATACATGCAAGAAGCCTTCTGCCCCCGCTGTGCTTGGCCAGGACTTCTGACCAAAGGCGAGAGAGAAACTGTAGGCTGGTATCTGGCTTAAATTGGTTCCTACTCCAAAGAAAGGTCCTTGCCCAGAATAACTCCCCATGTTGAAATCTGGACATCCAAACACATACCTCAGGAGTGCTTCAGGTAGTTAGATCTGCATCTTAGATTCACCTTGCTTGCCCGTGGGCTTGTGGATCCAAATTTTCCTGAAATGGTAAAAGGCAGAGACATGGACTTCTCAAGAGCATGTCTCTATACTTAATCTTACATGTCTTTAGTGATGACACCAAGCAAACCTTACTTATTTAGCAGATCTTGTGCCTGGTTTTCTCCACCATTTCCCTTAATGACCCTTAATATGTGGCTGTTGAAGTGGTGCAGTTTTTCCTTCCATAATGTGTGCTCCACTTACAACACTGAAAACTTGATTTCATAAATAACAGTTGAAGACCATATAATGGAGATAAACCTAAATGACTTAAAACACACATTTCCTTTGAGCTTGTCATGTTAGTAGGACCAGCAAAAATCTGAAGTCTTTCCACAGAATTCTGTTTAAGAAAAGTTCATAAACCCCTTAATTTCCAGCTTTAACTTGTATTTCCTATTCATGGTTGAAAGCAATAATTGAATAAGTCCTACACTGGAATAGCAGAACGAAACTTATTTTCCTTATCTCTGTTGTTCTTAATTTAAGATGGAACACAGGAAAATGATGTTATGGAATCCTCATGACATACGCTTGAAAAAAATGGCTGCAACTAGATTTTTAAGCCAATTATTCCAAGAGTTTGGGTTAGCATATCTTTGTTGCTCTTTGACTCATTTTGCCTATTCATTATCATCTATTAAGCACATTGTTAAAACTCCAGGCCTAGGCCCTTTCTAATCTGTAAAAAGAAAAAAAGATAGTCCCTATTTAAAAAAAAAAAAAAAAGGGCAATCTTATTTTCTAGAATAAAGTTAAACTCATTCTTTATTCCATTAGGGATCTAATAGTACCAACTAATGATTACAAGACATCTTAACTGACTAGATAGTCTGTATTTTAAAGGCCTAATTTTTCAGATCCAGAGCATTAGTAACTGTGGTGAAACCTATGTCTCTGGAAGGAAAATTGGACTCTAAAAATACAAATGACTAATGTAGCATTTGGAATTGGGCATTGAAGAAGCTTCAGAAATTCAAAAATAGTTAAGTGAAGAAACAATAACATCATTAGAGGAATACTTTATTGATGAATTATACTTGCTGAAAAGGATTCAATTATCATAAAGCTTCTGGCTTTTATGTTTTGGGAGCAAATGCTTATTCTGGAATTTAAAGAGAATTATGTTTCCAAATTATGTTTCCTGAATTGGAACTTCTTTTGCTATTTAAATAGTAAATACAAATGAATCAAAAAGTAGAGCATAATGCTGCTATTGAGAAAGAAGAATAACCTCATGTTTTCATGCCAAAATGAAATCTTTGTTCCTACAACCTGAGCCAGTTTTTTTCTGAAATGCATAGACTTCTTCTTGTTTATTCCTGAAGATTGACCACAGAATATATATAAAGGTATTGAAACTCAGTACAGTAACAACCTAAGGGCAGTATATGTATGGCCAAGCCTTTGCAACAAAGTTTTGATAACCTGATATATTAGACTGTAGCTTGAAAGGGTTTGTGCAAGAACCACACATGTTTTTCAAACTGTGAAGGAACTAGGAAAATGTTGTTTGAGAAAATAAGATTTGAATGACAGTAAAGGAAATGTTATTATGAACTGGGTAATGGTGGGTGCCTCATTGAAGTGAGGGGAGAGTTATACTTAAAATAGATTACACTGATTCTCTTAGCGTGAGAATATTGCAATTTATTACATTAAAGCAGATACCAGTGTACTTCCACTCTAATTTTACCGTATGAAGACATTTGCATTTTTGGGTCATATGCTGTAACTGTTCCCATTTATTTCTGAGTGTACAAGGGCCATTTGCAAATAATGCTGGTGTGTGCCTGTGTTTGTTTGTCCAAGCCTATCTACACAAAGGCGTCTAGAGATTAAAGGGGCTTTAGTTGTCATGGTTTCTTCCCAAATTCTGAATTGGGTACAGTAATTACACTTGATAGAACTGTTCAGATTATGAAACCTGTGAATGGAAAGCAGCCATAGCAGTAGAATGTTGAATTTGATTCTCCTCAGTCCTGTAGCTGTAGCACAGGAATATTTTAGGTGGCTTTTCTAGTTCCTCTCTCACAGTCACAAACACTGCTGTCTCCTTAGTCAGTACTATACTTCTGTGCATCCCAGTTTTATAGCTTATTTATGTACATCTTTGCCTTTTGCACACATTTTTACTGCAAAGGGGAGAAAAATAGCCCCCAGGAACGAGGGTTCAGCATGCTAAATGGTCAAGTGTGTGGTTTTCAGACAAAGCACCAGTTCAAATTGGGTAAAAAGGCTACTTAGGTCATTTTCTGTCCTTAGATGAAAAAGGAAAGTAATTTTAAATCAGTACCAGATGTGTGTGTACTAAATGAACCTTAAGTTTCTAATTGGAGTCCTAGTAAAGCTGTAATAGATGTGGCAAATTACAAACAAAATGTTCTTGTTTACATTAGTGTAACTTTAAAACTTCATCCAAAGACCTTAATAAATGTTCTGTTATTCTAAAAATGGGATTGAATGTCTACTCAACATTCAACAAAATTAATCTCTGGTGTAACTTCAGTGACTTA